ACAAGATTATGATGATAATAAATAAATAATTAAAAAAAAGAAAGAAAACTTGGGTATTTTGCATTTGGGATGAGAATTTATTGTTACAATGAAAGGAAGACTGTGATGATTTTATTTTTCAAATAAAGATGCACAATGATTTCAAAATAAAAAGAGAAGATTTTGGGTATGCACACACACCCAGTGTGTGTGTGTATGTGTGTTTTAAAGAATTATTTATTTATGTAATTAATTCCATTTGTTTTTGTTATTTATTTATTTATTTTTTGGAGATGTTTTTGCTATAGGGCGCGTGCTCTTGCCAGACAGACAGAGACAGACAGAAAGACAGAAAGCAAGAAATCATCCCCCTGGGGGGTGGCCATGCTGCAATCCCTTCTCCTCCATTCTCCTCTCGGGATCTTGGGCACGCACGCACACGGGCCCGGCGTGAGTTTAAGCCACTGGGTCCGGGACTCGAACCACGGTCGACTACATGGGAGTCCAGCGACATAGCCATTACGCTAACTGCTGGTCCCTGTTTTTGTTATTTTTAAAGTTTGACCAGAGAGAGACAAGCCAGAGAGAGAAAGGGAAAGCGAGGAAGCAAGCCGCTGGGTTCAGAACTAGAACCGCAGTTGGCCTTGTGGGAATCCAGCACCTTTAACTACAACACCACTCACCGGCCCCCCAGTGTATGTTTCAAGCCACTGGGACTGAGATTCAAACCGCAGTTGGCCATGATTCGGCTCCCTATGCACCGTGCTTTACCACGGAGCCATGGGCTGGCCCAGTTTGCCTTTCTTTAATTGTGTTCAGCCAAGTGCCCAAATATAGTTGCCTACTTTGAGGCTTCTGTCTGTTTCTGGAAGCCTTAGAAACAGTGGATGTGTGCACTGCTTGGGTGGGCCCTCCCCGTGGTCTAGACAGAGTGCCGCTGTCACATTCACTGGGGCAGAAGTCCCTGCAGAACTCCCCCCAGAGTCAGTTGTGTGGGCAGGAGTTAGAAGCTCTCTCTGAAAACCCAAGGAAAATGAAGCTCATGAAATAAAGGTTCTGATTTTCCTCTGCATTTCAGAGGACAGAGCCCTGAGTGGACTTCATTAGATTCTTGTGGCTACTGCAACTAAGTATCACAAACATGGCGCTTAAAAAACAGAAGTTTATTCTCAGTTCTGGAGGCCACAGACCCCAAAACCACTCTGTTGGGCTGAAGCCAAGATGTTGGCTGGGCGAGTTCCTCCAGAGGTGCTGGGAAAGGAACCTTTCTTGCCCCTTAAAGGATTTGTTGACAGCATTGTTCCATTCTCTGCCTCCATCGTAACTTGACTCTTCTCTGTGTCTCCCTCTGTCTCAGATCTCTTCCTGCTCTGCTCTTACAAGGATACTTGCCATTAGATTTAGGGCCCACCTGTATAGTCAAGGATGAGCTCACCTCCTTATATCAGGAATACTGAATTGTATCTGCGAAGACCCTTATTCCAAATACAGTCCCAGGCACAGGTTCTGGGGATTATGATTAGGAAATATACCTCCATCTTTCTTTGGAGGCCACCATGTAGCCCACTGCAGGGACTCTGGACTGCAACATTTCCAAAGGCTGGGTGTCTGCTTTCTGCAGCTTTGCCTGGTGAATGTCTGCATGGCACTTCTGTCCCATGACAAAACCTGACTCATAATCCAAGTTGTTCCTTTGTTTTTTTTTGTATATCATTTGCTATTCTAGTTGGAAGTCTAAATGGAAATAATTCAATGTATTTTGTGCTTTTTCCCCCCCTTTTTAATTCTGTGTGACTTCAAACCCACGTTTGATAGGATAAGAAGTTAGGAAGTAGCTGATCTCCTCTCAACTACTAAAGTTCCCTAATGATGGGAGCCTGTGAAATAATTGCCCTTGCTCTGCCCATGCGCTTGGATGCACTTGACCTTCTCCTTAGAGCCTGTGGGTTATAGGGCGGTTCTCGTCTGCAGGTACCACTGTGGGCTGGTTGCAAGAGCACAGGGGATAAATGGCAATTGGATTGCCACCTGGCCCTCATTATCCCATTGAAGGCTCAGCAAGAATGATCAATAACTCACTAACCATTGCTTTTTGTTAGAGCTGTTAAAGACAAAAGTGAGGAAAATGGATATTTATGTTAACTGACAGATAATTCACACAGAGATTTATATTGATTGAAAACCAAAAAAAAAAAAAACCATGAAATTAGAAAATTAGATATTGGAATCACCTAATTTGAAAAATTAAACCAGAAAGAGATGCATAAATAGCTTGAAAACTTGGATCCATATTTTATTTTATTTTTAATTCTGTAATAAACTGATTTTTTTTACATGTAACTGTTTATGAAAGTAGCCTAGACATTATAGTATTTTTAGTGATCAGTTTCTCTAATGCATTTATAGTAATTTTATTTTTAAAATGCAAAGGATTTATAATCAACTTTTCATTGATATATTTAGTTGCTCGTTGATATATTATAGTTTGTCATCCAGCTAGCTGGCTGGGGAAGACATTGGTTTTGGATGTGAAAAACATTGAAAGCATGGAACAGAGTCACATGCTTTTATTTATTTATTTTTTTGTTGTTGTTCTTTACATGTACTTCTAGAATGTAGATTATTCTCCTTGAATTGCTGGGAACCAGATCCTTGCTCACCCATGACAGGGGTGAGAATGTGGCAGTGATCCTGACCTATGATCTAAAATGAAGCTATGCTGAGGGATAAGAGCCCATTTCAGCCTGGGCCCTACTTGAAGTGGGTGGTTTAAGGTCCAGTTATCATGGGAAGAGAGATTAATTAAAAATTAAATGCTTATGCTAGATTTTTCTCCTTGTGTGGGCTATAAAGGGTACAAAAGGATGGAATATACTCTAGCAAGCAACAGTCTGGAAGAGGCTGACCTGGATCAAAAAAGTACTGTTGCCTGCCTGTATTTGGATCAGCTCACGATGAAAGTTGGCGCTGTTTTAATTTGGTAGACTACCGAGCTGTCCATGTCAGGAGTCTAGCGAAAGGCCATGCACGTGTGCCTGCATGTGCACGTGTGTGTATCCTGCCTTGGACCTGAATACAGTTGCATCCGGGCAGTGACAAAGGCATGGCTGCTACCCCATGTCAGCTGTTGGGACCCTTCGCCACAGCACTGGAACCTTGCTATCCTTGTTGGCTCCTGCTGCAGCTCATCAGTGGGTTCCCCTTGGTTCCTCCTTTTCCCATGGGTAATACACTTTACGTGCCTCAGGCAGGGCAAGTGTAGGAGGCCCCTCTTCCCAGGCCATGTCCCTCCTTTGAGCATGGCCACAGTTTTGATGACTGCTAGGATTTGTGGACTTAGGTGGCACTTAAGTATCACTGCCTTGGTTCCTCTGGGGCTAAGTTAGCTCCTTTAGCCAAGCCCAGGAGTCCTAAGATTCTGCCCTAGACAGTGAAGGGTCACCTCATTCTTCTGCTTTCCTCATCCCTGAAGAGTACAGCTGGCTCTGTTACCCAGGAAGAAAATGTTCACAAGTGGAATACTTTACTCAGATTCCATTTACCACTTGCTACCTTAGGGTTGTTTTCTTTCTTTCATGGCCCAGAGGCCAGGAGTCCTGGAGCAGGAGCAGCCTGGCTGCAACCCCTTCCATTGGCTGCTTAGTCTGTGAGGTCCAGGTAGGGCTGTGCACGGCTTGTGTTGATCAGTGCAGCTGTGCTCTCGGGAGTGAAGGGAGCTGTTTCCTGGGCTGCGGTCTGAGCTGGTTTGTTTTCTGAACCCTGTGGCCTCTGGTTGGTAACCAGCTTTTTGGTGATCTGAGTATTCTCCACTACCAGGGGAGCCTGCAGAGTTGGTCCTCCAGGGCCTCAGTTGAGAGTTGTCATCTCTGAAGTCCTTTTCTACAAGGCACAAGTCTCATTAGCCAGGCCAAGTGGGATTTTAATACCTGACAAAGTAACTGACAATTTCCTTTTTCTTCTTTTTAAATAAGTGGATAAAAGTGAAAACTTGAAAACAGTTTGAAATCAAACCTTGAGATGATATTTGTGAACATTTCTTTTAGTGTGGTGGTTGATCCAGGGGTTTTTTAGTGTCCTTATTCCTTCTGTTTGGCTGATGGTAGAAAGGGAGAAAGATGAGATAGTGTGTAAGATCTGACCTTACTGATTTCCTGATTTCACATAGTTACATATGTTAAAATGTCCCATTTTAAGCCAAAACTGCTATAGAAATTGTGTGCAAACAACTCTAAATTGAATATGCATATATGCCCTTCATTATTTGAGGGTTTCTTTTCTCTAATAAAAAGTGCTGTTCCTGGTATTTTCCTGCATATTTGAGTAGACATTGGCAAGGTACAGTGTTCACAAACATGCAGAAAGATCCTTATGGGAACACAGGTGTTACAAAAATGACAATGGTCTTTAGGAGAGAAGCTCTTGCCTTGAGCCAGCAAGGTGATTCGTGTGAGTAGGTAGGTGGGTCTGCTGAAGGGAGTGCTGTCAGCTTCCCTGTGCTGTTTGCACCGTGGATACCATGCCCTCCTCCTGTCCCAGGTCCTTTTGTAAAATGGACTGGTGATTCCT